AAGTTCCTCATCGGGCTCCTTGCTCAGCGGGGAGCCTGCTCCTCTGCCTGCTGCTCCCCCTACTTGTGCTCTCTTTCTCTCTTTCGACAAATAAATCTTTTTAAAAAAATATTTTTATTATTTGAGAGGGAGCGAAAAAGCATGTGTGAGCGTAGTAGGGATGGGCAGAGGGAGAGAGAATCTCAAGCAGAGTCCCTACTGAGCACAAAGCCGGGTGTGGGGCTCGATCTCACAACCCTGAGATCAGGACCTGAGCCAAGACCAAGAGTTAGACATTTAACCAAGTGAGCCACCCAGGCTCCCCTTCTTTGTTTTCTTAAATGTACATTCAGGATTAAAGGTTCTTTAACAACTACTATCTGTGCCGGACATAAAAGAGAGAGCTCTAATTAAAGGCTCACATTCTCCTTAAGGAAAAACGTCACACAGATGTGTTCTGCCTTGAACATCTCTCAATATCATGTGCTCTCCTTCTTTGGCATCATTTTAAGTTGTCGCATGAGGCTGTATTACATGAGTGTGCCGTCATTTATTGGACTAACCCCCTTTTGTTGGATCTAAAGGAATTTAACAAAATTCTTTCTTCTATCCCCACCTCCAAATTAGTAGTTCAGGTTGCTTACTGAATCACTCCTCTATGATCCCAGGTGACTTCCTAAGTAATTTCCCATCCCAGGGTTTCTCTCTAGCCAACATCCTCGTGGCTGCCTGAAGGATGTTCTTGTTTGTTTGTTTGTTTTCCTTAAAGATTATATTTTTCATTTGTCAGAGAGAGGGAGAGAGAAAGAACGAGCATGCGCACAAGCAGGGGGAGCAGCAGGTAGAGGAAGAAACAGGTTTCCTGCTGAACAAGGAGCCGGATGCAGGGCTGGATCCCAGGACCCTGGGATCATGACCTGAGCGAAAGGCAGACTCTTAACTGACTGAGCCACCCAGGCATCCCTGCCTGAAGGATGTTCTTTTTGTTTGTTTGTTTGTTATTAACCTATAATGAATTATTTTCCCCAGGGGTACAGGTCTGTGAATCATCAGGCTTACACATTTCACAACACTCACCATAGCACATTCCCTCCCCAATGTCCATAATCCCACCACCCACTCCCTACCCCCACCCCCAGCAACCTTCAGTTTGTTTTGTGAGATTAAGAGTCTCTTATGCTTTGTCTCCCTCCCGATCCCATCTTGTTTGATTTTTTCCCTCCCTATCCCCCATGACCCCCCACTCTGCCTCTCAAATTCCTTATATCAGAGAGAACATGTGATAATTGTCTTTTTCTGATTGACTTATTTCATTTAGCATAATACCCTCTAGTTCCATCCACATCGTTGCAAATGGCAAGGTTTTGTTTCTTTTGATGGCTGCTTAGTATTCCATTGTATATATATACCACATCCTGAAGGATGTTAACTCACTGCTTTCCTTGTGTCCCTGTCAGCCCAAGAATGGCTCTTTCTTGACTTTGCAATTGGTCCAAACACTTCTGCCTTTTTTTCCTTCCCCAGGATTTTCTGCACATCAGTCTCTTTTCTTCATCTTCTACTTTCTTCCCATTCTGGGGAGCTAGCCAGGTCTCCCAGCAATTTGAGTACATACCATACGCGTTTCTTTCTGGGCCTGGCTCGTGCTGTTGTTCCTTTCAAGAGTGGCTCTTCTCCTCCCACCAGATGATGTTTCTAGCCTCTTCATCTAGGGAGGGCCAGCTCCTGTCTCGAGAGCTTCACAAACTCCCTGTAGTTACCCTTGCCTATATGGATTTTGCCTTTCTTTGCAGTTTTGGTTCAGTGAGATGGGCCCACACAGTTCATGAAGCAGTAAGAAAACAAGGCTTTGTCCCTCCCTGGATAGACTTAGAAGACAAGGATGTGTTGTAAATGTCCCCGCCACACCGGCCATATGACAGTTCTTGGAACATGCTCACTTTTTTTCCCACTTCAGTGTTTGCCCTTGCTGTCCCTCTGTTCCTCCAACTCGTCCCAGCCAGCTTCTTCCTGACATTCGGATCTAGCTTAAATGTCACTTCCTTGGAGAGGCCATCCCTGATCCCTATCAGAAGTAACCCCATTGTTTCTGTTACGGCATGCTGCTTGTTTTTCTTATGCCCTTTACCCCAAGGTGTTCTCATCTCATTTCTTTATACATCGCTCACCCGCTTTCTTCACTGCACCTAACCTCCTGGACAACCTGGCTTGTTCACCTGTTTATCCCTAGTACCTGCATAGTGCCAAGATGGGCAGTAAATGTTTACTGAGCGATTAGTGAGATAGGATGGAATGGGGGCAGAAAAGGGGGACATGGACAGGGGACATGGAAGCTGTCACTTGAATTTCTGGCTTGGGAGATTGAGCTGATGGCAGGTGGTGTTACTACTAACTGAGCTTGGGATTTCTGGAGGAGCATCTGTGGCTGAGGTGGAGCGAGCAGAGGTAGTGACTTCTCCTTTGTACTCATTCGATTTGCCTCCAAACTATTTCAGTGGAATATTTAGAGGTTATTAAATAGGCACCATCCAAATCACAGTAATAGCTAGCATAGTTAGACATATGGTTAAACTTTAAAAAATAATAATAGCTAACATTTTTAAAAATTTAACTTTATTTTTTTATTAACATATAATGAATTATTAGCCCCAGGAGTACAGGTCTGTGAATTGTCAGGCTTACACAATTCCCAGCACTCACAATAGTACATGCCCTCCCCAATGTCCGTAACCCAGCCACCCTAAGATTTATTTTAGAGAGAGTGCAAGTGGGAGGGACAGAGGGAGAGGGAGAGAATCTTTTTAAATTAAATTAAATTATTTTATTTATTTGTTTGAGAGAGAGAGAGAGCAAGCACAAGCAGGTAGAGGAGCAGAGGGAGAGGGAGAAGCAGGCTCTCCCACTGAGCAGGGAGCATTGACTCGGAGCTTTGACCCCGGGATCATGACCTGAGCCAAAGGCAGACGCTTAACCAACTGAGCCACCCAGGCACCCCCTTTTTAAAATTTATTTATTTATTTATTTTAAAGATTTTATTTATTTATTTGACACAGAGAGATCACAAGTAAGCAGAGAGTCAGGTGGGGGGGGAGGGGAGGCAGGCCCCCTGCTGAGCAGGGAGCCCAATGAGGGGCATGATCCCAGGACCCTGAGACCATGACCTGAGCTGAAGGCAGAGGCTTAAGAGAGAGAGCACACTCATCGTGAGCAAGGGGAAGGGGCAGAGAGAGAAGCAGGCTCCCCAATGAGTAGCAAGTCTGATGTGGGGCTCTATTCCAGGACCTTGAGATCAGGGCCTGAGCCAAAGGCAGGTCCTCAACCTACTGAGCCACCCAGGCGCCCCAAGAGAAAATCTTAAGCAGACTCTGAGCTGAGCCTGGAGCCTGACACGAGGCTCAGTCTTATGCCTCTGAGATCATGACCTGAGCTGAAACCAGTCGGACACTTAACCAACTGTGCCACCCATGTGTTCCCAATAGCTAACATTTATTGAGAGCTTATTTTGTAACAGGCAGTGAGCAGGGTGCTCTACATATATTTACACTTACGACATTTAAGACTTACAACAACCTTGGACACAAAGATGCAACTGAGGATTCTAACCATTAGATGAGCTGCCTGAGTCCTCTTAGCTAATTTGTGACTCAGGATTTGACTCTAGGTGGTCAGTTTCCAGAGTCTCTCTCCACTGTACCACCATGCTGGAAGAGGCATGTAATGGACCCAAAGCCAAGATGAGTCCTTTGCCTTTGAGGAGCTTATTTTTTGCTTGGGGAATAAAATATAACTCCTAACTTACTATACTGACCAGGCTTGCATTAAGCACTCATTCAAGCCTGTCAAGTATGGCAATTATTTGGTTAAAATGGCCAGTCAGTATTGGGTGCCTCATCTGCTGATTTCAGAAGACCCAGTCTCATGTGACCTTGACAATTAAGAGGAACTAAGGATGTTAGGGATGCAAAATCCTCTCCACAGATCATCATTTATTTTGGAAACATAATTTATAACCCTTTATAACGCAACTGGAAAAGAGGAAACTAAAAGATCACAGTAAAAGCCAAAGAAGATAGTGATGTCTAGATCTCTTCAAAAGAGAGTCAGAGTCAGTCAGGGGGCACTTGGGATTCCCAGAATGATAACTGCATGGGATTAGAATATGTGTTAAGAAATATACAAGCAGGGGCGCCTGGGTGGCTCAGTGGGTTAAAGCCTCTGCCTTCGGCTCAGGTCATGGTCTCAGGGTCCTGGGATCGAGCCCCGCGTCATGCTCTCTGCTCAGCGGGGAGCTTGCTTCCTCCTCTCTCTCTGCCTGCCTCTCTGCCTACTTGTGATCTCTCTCTGTCAAATAAATAAAATCTTTAAAAAAAATTAAAAAAAAAAAGAAATATACAAGCAGCAGGAAGTAAAACCACATGCAGTGCACCCATTGCTTAATTTTTTTTTAAAGATTTTATTTATTTATTTGACGGACAGAGATTACAAGTAGGAGGAGAGGCAGGCAGAGAGAGAGGAGGCTCCCCGTAGAGCAGAGAGCCCAATGTGGGGCTCGATCCCAGGACCCTGGGACCATGACCCATGGGCCGAAGGCAGAGGCTTTAAACCACTGAGCCACCCAGGCACCCTGCTTAATAAAAAAAAAAAAAAAAAAAAAAATTAAAAAGAAGAGTTTTCTAAAAAAGATTTCAATTGTGTCATTAACTACAGGAGTTAGTCTAGTCTCCTTAGGTTGAGGCATCCATGCCAGAAGATTGTCCTCCACTTCAGGTGCCAGTCGCAAGTCCCAGGGTGTCCCCTGTACCTCAGACCAAGTGGCTGTAAATTGGGGGTTTCCATAACCCTGTTCTCAGGTTTGGTCATTTACCATAATGGTGCACAGAACTCAGGGAAACCATTTTTTGTATTTACTCGTTTATTATAAAGGATACAGACTACAACCAGATGAAGAGGCAAGGTCCAAAACAGTCCTGAGCACAGATGTTTCTGTCCCTGTGGAGTTGGGGTGCGCCACACTCCTAGCATGTAGATGTGTTCATTGATTCAGGAGTTCTCCAAATTTCGTAATTGAGACTTTTTTAGGAGGGCTTTATCACGTGGGCGCAATCAATTTTTAACTCCATTTCCAACTCCTCTCCACTCTAGAGGATGAGAGAATGGGGCTCAAAGGCCTAAGCTTCTGATTGTAGCTTGGTCTTTCTGGCAGCCAGCCCCCATCCTGAAGTTTGGAGCCCACCAAGAGTTGCGTTGTTAGAACACAAGACATTCTTATCACCCAGCAGATTCTGAGGGATTTAGGAGCTCTATGTCAGGAATTGGGAGCAGAGACCAAATATATATCTTATAATGTCATAGTTCCTCAAAATATATGTTGAATGAAAGTGTCAATGCCTAGCCGTGATTTGGGGATCTTCTGAGAAAAGGAAGTAGAAGGAACACTTCAGTAATCATAAATTATACATTATCTTTTATAATTAAAACAATGATATTTTTATTATCAAAACATATTATCTAGTTAAGACATGTGAATACCAAACTAGAATTAGGATGTATTTAAAAACTGGTGCCCTGTGAAGAGAGAAATGCAAGTTCATTACCAATTCTACATGAAACCAGCTAATGTTACAAGAAAGATCTCTAATACGGACATGAAATAGTGAATGCTGGGCAATTACCCTATAGAATAATGGGCTTAAGTACAAGAAAACAGATCCTATAAAGTGCGATTCTCCTTGGGATGCCTTTGCTGATGACATTAGTTTTTGCAGTCGACTAAAAACCAGATACAAATAAGATGCACGTTATTTTTGGAAGTGTCAGACATTACACACCGTTGACATAACACATCACCCTCTCACCTAAAGCATCTGTGGGGAAGGTGAAAGGGGATAGTAGGAAGATCCAGGGCCTAATTGTCATTACAAATTCTGACTCCATTTGGGGCCTCCAGGGGTGATAAAAATACACTAGGGATAAGGCATCAAGAAATAAAGTAAAATAAAATAAAGGTATAAAGTTTCAGAGGTTTATCAGAATGGAAATCTGTAGCTCATACATTAGACTTCTAGGAGCAAAAATTTAAATTCTAAAGAAGTCCCATATAACCAACTTTTCGAATACATTTCTTACATATAAGAAGTCGTATATCATCTCCTATCTCTGAAAGATAGTAAAGATGAAAGTTCAGTCTGGCCTAGTTTATTCCTGAGTTTAAAGCCAGATAAAATCCTGGGTCAAAAAAAGAAGTGTTTTGCTCATATTCACTTTACATGAATACAGTAAAAAGCACCTGGTTTTCAAAACATATCAAAATGGTACACCTTAGAATATGTATTAAGAAAACTCATAGACCCTTCATCGTTTACAGTGTTGAATAGTGGTCTTTATTTATTCTTTAAAAGAGTTGTTTAGAAATAATCAATTCTAATACCAGAACCATGAAAAGGAAATCCTGAAGGAAGATCCTAAAACCTCTGACTATCCATTTTCACATTCTTACAGGTCACTGTACAGAAATGGTAAAGGTTTGGGTGTGAGTTGCTTTTTAAGTAGCATCTAGACTGTGTCCATTCTGATTGGCTACGAGGTGCAGGATGTTAAGGAAAGAAAGGTGGCCTTTTCCAGTTTTAGCAGCAATAGCTACTTCCAGTTCTAGTAATAGGCTGTGGGTGAGAATGTATTGGGTGGTTCAACAGTTAGACTGGATGGATTCCAGGGCTGGTCTGGTGGGTTCCCTGATTTGTTCTTATCCGTGATAGGACTGCCGAACAGAGACCGAAGCCCCCATGGAGCTTCAGGGGTGGTCCAGTCTCCCTAAGAACCCTAGAACCATGGAATGTCTAGGCCGAGTCTGTGTTCCAGTGAGTCAGGCTTGCTCTCTGTCCTCCATCTGTTGCTGTGTCTCAAACAACACAGAACTTAGTGGCTTAAAACAATGGTTTTCTTCCGTGGGTGCCCTGGGAGGCGTCTCCTGCAGTGGCAGTCCGATGCTAGTAGGGCGTGGAATCATCTAAAGGCTTCTCTCCCATGTCCAGTGACTGCGTTTGGATGTCTTGGAAGCTGGGAACTGGTCAGACATCTCTGTTGTCCATGTGGCTTCTGGAGCTGCCTCACAGTTGGGTAGTCTGAGGAGAGGCAGACCTCTCTATGGGGGCTGGCTTTGCAGCAGCCATGGGGCAGGACGGGAGGTGGAAGCTGTCAGCCCCAAGACCAAGACCCCGAAGCCAGAACAGCGTTACTTCCACGATTGGCTAAAGCAGTCAGAGCTGCGCACATGCAGGGGGAGGAGACATAACCCTTAGGTTATGGACAAGTGCCCAAGAATTTGGCCCACCATTAATCCTCCACAGTCTCCAGCCAGCACCCCAAGGTTTGTTCATAGTCATCCTTATCCCAGTCTGGCCTCACAAGGAGCCGCTTTGCATTCATGTAGCTCTTTGTGCATTGATCAGAAAGTTCATGTACACTCTCTGTTTGTCCTCCCGACCCCTCGGTTGGGATTGCAGGTTGGGTAGGAGGGCAACTGCGGTGCAGAGTTAAAAGCCAAGGACCACACAACTTGCTGGGGACAGAACTGAGGCACAGATCCGAATCTCTCGACTTGGTCCCTGCTGAGGGATTCGGTTTGTTTGTTTGTTTGTTTGTTCGTTCTGCTTTCTGACATGTCTAGAGCTGCAGGAGCGGAAAACACATTTCCCTTTGGTTGAACGTTTGGCCACAGATCTTTATAGGTCAAGCTCAGGGCACAAACAAAGGAAACAAACATTAACACGCCTGCTCAGCCCTGTGCCATCAGCAAGGACTCTGGAAGCCAGTGTACCGGCCTTCACTCTTGGGAAACTCTCTCCGGATTGTCCAGCGGCAGCAGCTGGGCAGGATGGCAAAGTCGGCGAGGTCCTGGGAGCCGAAGCGCCAGGTGGTGTAGCACCTGTAGGCACAGTGCCGCAGCCGGCTGTTGGCATTGTCATCCAGCACCAGCAAGGGCTCCTGGTAGAGCAGGAGGAACTGCAGGACCTGTCGGGACAAGACAAGCTTCCTGAAGGGCTCCGAGGTGGTGATGCAGGCACCAGGCTTTTTCCGACAGCACAGCTCTTCCAGGCATCTGTCGCTCTCGGGGAGCTGGGATGGGAGGCAGTGTCCACACTGGCACCAGTCTGGGCTGTTGCTGGATATAGGAGTCACTTCCCTACTTAGCGGCTGCATCTCCTCTGGTTGCCCAGGAGTAGGGGATGGGTCATAGAGAGACAGCGGCAGCCTGGACAAGTCCGTGAAGTCCGTTGAGGGTCTCTGAAAAAGTCGTTTCCAAACCCATCAGCGGTGACAAACTCTAGGGTTCTAGATTCTTTAATTTTGGTATTAACTTATAAAATTACACTTAATATCACATTAATACCAGTAGCTGTCATTTATCAAATGTATATATCAAGACTATGCTAGTGCTTTATAAATTTGCCCTTTAGCTTTTTTTTTTTGAGGTCCTACCTTTTTTTTTTTTTAAGATTTTATTTATTTATTTGACAGATAGAGATCACAAGTAGGCAGAGAGGCAGGCAGAGAGAGAGGGGGAAGCAGGCTCCCCGCTGAGCAGAGAGCCCCATGTGGGGCTCGATCCCATA